AGCCCTAAACCCTTAAACCCTAGACCCCTAAACCCCTAAACCCTAAACCCCTAAACCCCAACCCCTAAACCCTTATTCCTATACAACCCAATGCACCGAGTAAGTTCATGCAGCTACTTGGCCAGATCCAAGCTTCGCAAGAAGGCAGCCAGCGCAGGCGTCAGCTGGAAGGTCCACTGTGGAAGCCCCTTCAACAGGGTTTAGGGTTTAGGGGTTTAGGGTTTAGGGTTTAGAACAGTTTCAATTCCTAATTTAAGACCAATTTAGTACTATTCTCTAAAGAAACCACCATTTAGGGTGAGGTCGGGTGAGGTCGCTTTAAATTGCCCACCTTCAAGCTACATGGTTCATGTCACATGTCTTAAAGGCATCTGAGGTTTCTCCCAATTTTTTGTTTCATATTCCTTTCCATTCGATTCACCATTAACTCTTGGGGTAACATAGTCCCCCTTAAGCAGATAGACTATGGGGTATATGGGGATCTTATTAGAATATACCTATAAATATTGCCAATGCTCTGCCGCCAAGGGTCTGCAAACGGGAAGGGCTGCGCAGCCTGTTCGGCTGTCAGCCTAAGGTCTGCTAGAGCCAGGCTCTAAACAAGTCCTGATATTATATATGCTATATATACTATGTATACTATATATACTATATAAAACATATATACTATATATCGTGTATATATATGGAGGTTATTGTAGGAGTTGAGGATGCCAAAGCACTACAATCTATTTCCTGCGGATCCCCCCAAAAAGGATTCCTAATCTTGGGATAGACTCATGTGCTTTTAAGCTGTGTCTTGGTGCATCAGCGCGCAGTACAAAGCGCTCAACTGGCGATGGTACTTGTACTATTCAGTAGCAAAGGGGGCTCTACGAGCCAAAGCCGGGATCGTATTCCCGAATACCCGGCATCTCTCCTGCCGAGAGTCGTGCTGTCTTGGCCGTCCACGTTCAAGCCGTGATGCACCGATCCACAAACCACGTGCAAGTGAGGCTGGGGCAGCCTCAAACCAACAATGTGCATGTGACCCATCGTCTAACTCCTCCCAGTATCCCCTTCAATAATCCCTATGATAGTCCCCTTTCTAATCCCCATCTAACCCGCTTTGCAGAGTTTAGACTCAGACTCTAGCTTGAATGCAAATCTGCTGCCAGCCTCGCAAACGACCTTTGGACGGCTTGCTTGACCAGACATCACAGCAAAATGCGACTTTGGATGAAAATTATTTGCTTGCAGCCAGGTTATATTATAGCTTCCCTCAGGCAAGAAAACAGAACATAAGCCCATAAACCCTAAACCCTATATATCCCCTATATGGTAGTTTCCCAAAATTAGGGGACCCCAATATAGACTCCCAAAAAACTATAATCCTTATTCCGGGATCCCCAAAATCATACGCCTCATTTCGGGCAACATCTCCAAGATGCCAAGGAACGACTCAAGTGCTGCCTGTCCTGGCAAAGATTGGCTCATCTCTGCCTCGCCTGTGCGCAGACATCCACCCTGTCGGATTGTTCTATATGGGGGTGTGTCTAGGGGTATTATATAGGGTTTAGGGATTAGGACTTGGGATTCCAAAACTAGGGTTACCTTTTTGGGGTCCTTCAAATCAGGCGCGGTATCGCGGGGTCTGTATTGGGCCCTCCTATTTATGGAAAGATGGGCAGCTATATAAAGATGGAGAGAAACAGAGAGAAAGACCAACAACGACCTTGAACATCTGTCTAGGGGAAGGATCTCCCCACCAAGAGAAAGAGAGCTAACTGTCTCATGCCGAAAAGAGTAACCCCCCTCCACCGAATAAGAACCTCTCCCCAATACAACATCAACATCCATTTTTATGGAGATGGCGAATATGTGTGATTAGGGGGTAGGAGGGGGTGTAGCAATTACTAGGGAGAGGTGATGAAGTATAATGAAAGGCAATCAGTACTGACCTTGCAGGCGTCTGCTGGCATGGCTGCGCAGCGCACAGCAAGGGGCAAATGTCGCATGAGGCTAACAAGCTCTTACGGGATGTGAGGTGATGTGCCATAGCGCCCCTGCAGGAATGGTCATATTTCTGAAGAGTTGAGCTTGTGAGTGAGTCCGCAAGGTTTGGTTTACTCCCCACATGGTCAATACAAGTAATAACTTGTCGGTCTGGGAAGGTTCGGGGATGCCCCACATGAGTGACTGGAGTTCTCTCTGTTCCATGGGATGGGTCCCTTTGGGGGATTGCCATTACAGACACACATGGACGAATACCCAAGCGGCTGCGTGTGCTTGTGGGGTCATGGGCTCAGTGGTAGCTTGCATAGCTTCGTGAGCCGCTGCATCAACACACAAGAGGGACTACAGTCCGTGCTTGGCAGATCCATGCCCTGCAGACTGGCATCTTTCAAGACATGGCCTTTTCTTCTTTGAATCTTAATGTACAAACCTCTCTGGTTACTCGTCTGTCTTGCAATGCTTCTGTCTGCTGGCGGCTCATTTGCGCGAAAGCTAAGCCAGGATCCAATTAAGAATAAGCGGATTTTTGTGAATGCAGCCAGGGAATCATATAGCAGTCTCTTTGAACTGGGAAGCTTTCCAACCTACCACTTGCAAGAAGGGGTGACATTATTAACTTTTCTGTCGAGCCAAATCGTACCTTTCATCAGAGCAAGAATGATAGAATATGGAACTGCCCAATATCATAACAAGATCCCCACATAACCACATACCCCATATTCTATCTACCCGAGGGGGACTACAGTCCGAAACCCATGTGCCTAGGGCTCCGGACGCTTGCACCTCCAGCTGCCGGGTTGCCAGCAGCCCTGTGCTGAAGCTGGAAGAAGACTGGTAAACTTGAACCATAGTCTTAACTCCCAGTATCTTCCTTCGTGACCCCCCCTAATAGTCCCATATATAAACCCCTCACATAACCATAACCCCTTTAAAGAATTTAGATTATGGCTCATATGATCTGATATGATCTAGACCTGTAGGTATGAGACAGGCACCATGGCGGAGGAGGCATGAAAAGGTACCTTCATGGTTGGACCTCTCGGATGACTACACGTCGGAGGTGGCTTTTAGGGTTCCCCAAGTTTGGGATTATCGCATCTTGGGGTCGATGTAGGGGCTCCTATTTATGAAGCCAGCTTGTCTGTGAATCAGTATTTTCAGGCAGCAGCCGGCCGCCCAGTGGACTTTTGGCGCGCATACATGTCAGTACTGACCCCGAAAAACCTAACACCTAAACCCTAAAATCTAAACCCTAAAATCTTGACCCCTAAGCCCTAAACCCTGAACAGATGAAGCAGACAGGCATTCCACAAGGCTGAGCCCAGGCCATTTGGGGACGCTAGCAAAAAAACAATGCCATTTCAGGTGAGGTTGGGTGAGGTAGTGACAGTGTACCCAGTTTACCCAATATGGGATTCAATTGAGCGAGATTGCGGGACCCCTAAACCGAGCGGGCGCCGGAATGCCTCGAGTGGCATCAAGCTCCTTGTTGTTCGCCTCTCATTATGACACATGCAGTGGCGGGAGACAAGGTGATGAACAGCTGCCAGTTTCATGATCTCCGAATTCGCTTTCGGGAGTTTCAGACTTATCGCCAAGCAGGTTTGAGCAGTGCAAGGCTGCAAGCACCAGAACCTACATCATGTGCAGAGCTGTTCATGCCCATGATCAGATCAAATCCTTTTCAAAGTTGAAGGCTGAGCAGGGTCTGACTGCTGGCTGCCACATGCTGCACAGCTGTGCCCGGAAGTCTGGTAGCATGTTGCAAAACACTCCTCACTCGTGCACTTTATCAGTTGTGATCAAAGGCGCCCCCTGAGCGCGAGCCTCCACACTTTTCTGAAGAGTCTCCAGCCTCTCAGACTGGGTTATCTGTCTGCTTGGGGCTTTTTACGAACACATGCAACTTGGACAAATAAGTCTGCAGGCCGCTGTCGGTAGAGGTGCTGAGAGTTGGGCTTGGACTTCCCTTCGCCACTGGATCGGAGTAGGCTGTTCGCCTGGTCTGTGAGAGATTCCACCTGGATGCAGGGCAAGCATGCTTTGGCTTCAGGTGGAGATTTGGGGTCTTCCGAGCTGGTCAGGACAGCATCTACTCCAAAGAGACGATGGATACGTCGGAGAACCGCACGCAGAAGCAAAGGTTGCGGAGAATATCTGGATTGTTCCGACTGCAACTGAGAAGCTCTTCAAAGGGAGACCAGACACCCAAATACAGCCGAAGTGGCTCAGGTGCAAGATTCCTATGTAGCCTCATGAAGACGGTTAGCGCTTGGGTGGTCCCAGATTGGAGGACTCATTTGGACACCTAAGAGGATTATGACTTTGAACCTCGCGGTCGGTCAGAATGCTTGTTCGTGCTGGGGGTGGGAGAGAATGACAGGGCCTTGATGTGAAAGAGGGTGCATAAACAACTTACGGCCTGAATGCTGCTGCAGCTATTGCGGGGCTCACGAATCAGCAGTCGGAATTACGGACTGACTGACTGACGGACTGGCGCTATCAACCCTCTAAAGCTGGCCGAGCTTGACACGGCTCCGGTACAATCCTGTTGAGGCATCACGTCCTCCTCCGATGCCCTCACATTTCTGCGTCCGGCCTCCAACTGGGCCTTCTCGTGCTCCGCGGTGAGGGACGCCGCTTCAGCCTGCATACCAAAAAACTCGCTTTGGACCCATGGCTTCTGCAAATGAGCTCCTTTTTCTGCAATGATGGTATCACTACGCTATCGCTGGATGAGACCTACTGGAGCTTGGGCAGTTGAGGGCGACAGAAGCAGGATAGCCTTCCAAACGGCTGGGTGCATCAGGGAGTTGCCTTCTGTGTATTTGAAATAGACCTGTGAGCAGGAGACCTGCAGGACCCTCGGCCACTGCAAGATTGCTTCCTCCTGCGAGAGCTGGGTTCAAGTCGCCTCGGCTGCCGTGTGGATTTCTAATGCTCCGGATAGGCCTTGCTGTGCTCAAACTTGGAGCGGTTTGAGCTGGCTTGAGAAGCACTGGGTTTCACAAGTCTTCCCTTGCCATCGGTGCTGCTGGATCATCCAGCAAGCCCTCAAGACTGGCAAGCTTTCTCAACGCCTTCATGTCCCCAGCAGCAGACTTGCCCATGCTTTCTGTAAGCCGACGGATCTCAGCTGCAAGTTCCCCCCTGGGCCTTCTTTGCCACTTGGAAAGAAAGGTAACTTGCTTCTTGGAACAGCCTTGAAGGGTCTTTGGCTTGCAGGTAAACGCCTGGGGCCTGGTCACTTGGACCCTGTGGAGACCCAAATGAACATCTAGCAGAGCCGAGGCGTTTCGATACAGCCAAAGCTCGTAGCCCATGACGCTCTTAACCGCCCGTCGCACAGTTGCAGTCACAAAATCTCTGGCATAGTTGGCGCCCGATCCCTTTCCAGTTCGCTGGCACTCCTGCAGCATTCCGTGACGCCGTCCCTGTCGCCAGCTTCTGTAGCTACCACATCGCACGGGACGCCCGTAGCGCACCAATTGCAGCATCGACGGCGGAGCCGATAGTCCTAGGAACACATCCAGCAAGGCTGCAGATTCCTGCAGGCGGTCTGTGATGAGGGGAAGAATGTACTTTCGCAGCAGCTCGCTCATGGCGCCCAGTCTTGCCTGATCAAGATCTCTCTCCGAAGCGCAAGGTGCCGCGAAGCGAGGGCCGAAGACTTGATTTGGCACAATTCGGCATTGAGCCACTCCTTGCTGCTCCATGAACTGGGCAAACATGGCGTCCACCCGGCCCTTGTCCATGAAACCGCCTTGAAGTGAGGCGGGATCCATGGACAGCGATGCCCCGTCGCGGTGCTCCAGCCCAGCTGTCAGCTGCCTGGTTACGAGCTCTATCGAGCAAATGCACCCTGATGCACGCGACTTACTTGTAGTTTGGAAAACGGAATACAAAAATCAGCCCACCTCCAACCCTTCCCTGTTCGCCAGGATGCATAAAGGCCGACATCAGGCGTGCTGCTGGCTCTCGCAGAGTCACGACAAGGAGTGGTGTTTTTGCCATCTCTGGGCTGGGGAAGAACTGATTGAAGGTGCCAGTGTGGTGATGATTCAGCTTCCTGAGCTCTTGCAAGAATTCTTCAACCTATGTTGCTTGTTTTTCTCGGCCCAGGATCCCGAAGCCCATGTCAACGAGATGGCCATGGAAGATGCTGAAGTTTGCTTGCGCAGGTGGTGCATCAACCTTGCATGCCAACGGGCTTATGCAATTCACATCTTAGGGAAAGGTATGCATGAAACTTGCTCGCTTCGGCCATCTTCCGCCAGGCTGCTGCCAAATGCTTGGTGCGTGCGTTCAAGCTAAGGATGTAGGCGGGGATCTCTGTCGGACCACCCTCTCCTGGAACGGGGCGCAGCTCAATGTGCATCGACACAATCTTCTGGCTTGAGGCAGTTCATGGTTTTCGGCTTCAGGGCTGAGCTTTAACAAAGACTTGAAGTCGAGCGGCGCATGTCCGTGAAGAAGGGTATCTCGTGAGCCCTGGCATACTTTGCGAGTGCAACACCATAGGTGGAGCCGCCAGCTTTGAAAATGTGCATGAATCCCAGGGACGAGAACCTGTGCAGGTCAGCAGTAAAATCAGATCAATCCACCAGGATTGCTGAAGGGAGGTGCTGTAGTAGTGTAGAACCGTTAATGGGACTTATGTGCTGCATCAAGTCAGATGATGTGGAAAGATTGGGAGGGAGTGAGTGCATAACATGAAGCTCTCAACGAATAGATCTGGACCTACACATTGAAGACATAAAGGATGGACTCAAGAAGCGCCAAGATGTTCAGGACGGAGGGATGTGCTTCGGAGCTCTTACTGTAGCAAGGTCTCCTAGCCTTCAGAAGCCTCACACAATTCCAGCATAGAAGCAAAAAAAGGACGCAACTAGCGCGTGAAACATCCTGACATAAAAGTGTCCTGAGCTCTGCAAGGCACTGGCTCGGTTGCAGGATCTCCTCACTGCTCGCCGAGAGGAGCGGCCAAAACGAAGTGAGGGCAAGTGCCCACATGGCTGGGCAGCTGGTGGTGACATCATGAGAGGAACTAGGCGCTGGTGTAGTGCTTTGGTCTGAGGGTGCTTGGCCTTTGAGGGAGTGGTGCTTTTCCCAGCCTACCATGGGATGGTCTCATGCTCGAGCCAGGATGACTCTTGCGGCCCTGTCAAAACTCATGTGTGCTACGCTTGCTTTTCCTCTACAACCGTGGGCGTCCTGACACCTTGGCCCAACTGTTGCCTGCACAAGGCACACCCATGCAAAGAACGAAAGCCTGCTTATCCCCCCTCCGAGCTTGCCTCCGCCTCTTTAAGCGCCAGCTCACTTTCCTGGAGCTCCTGAGCTTCTCATGTGTAGGGCACTCTAAAAACAGCAACAGTCGCATGAGTCTCCTAATCATTGGTAGGAATATACCAGAAGTCTACAAGGACCCAATACTCTCATGACTATGTCCCTCTTGGCAGCGCCATCGTGTTTTACATCGTCTTGTGGCACTCACAAAGGAAACCTCAGATTCGAAAACCACCCACAATCTGGACTCAACAGTGGCCTTCTGTGGGTCCTAATGAACAGAAGTGTCGTGCCCTTCCACAGTTTAGGGCACCATCCAATCCAAACATAGAATGCGCTTTGCATTTTAGCAAATAGTCTACAACCCCATCCATCCTCATAGTTTTCAAAGATCCCCATTTAAAGTCTGTAGTCCCCCTTAAATAAATAGAATATATGGGGATCTTATTATAATATACCCAGGGCCATATTCTATCTACTTAAGGGGGACTATAACCCCAATATATGCACTATTATAATTCCAGTAGTTTCCATGTTCTTTTCCATCATCCCTATATAACCCCAATAATATACCCCATGTTCTATCTACTTTAGGGGGGCTATACCCTAAACCCTAAACCCTACATTCTATCTACTTAAGGGGGACTACAGAAGCAGCTCCATTTCCGAGCTCTGGACAGCCTTCAGCTTCTTCTGATGCTGCTTGGCGGTGGCTTGCCTCGGTGAAAGAAGCGGCAGCAAGGAACTGGTTGTTTCCCAAAATTAGGGGGGTACCTTTTTGGGGGTCCCCGCAAAAAGGATTATAGTATTTTGGGGTCTATATGGGGTCCCCCTATGTTGGGAAACTACTAAATGACGGTCTTTCGTGGGCCTCCCTTGCTGTACTGCCCTAAGTATCTGAGCTACCCCCAAGCCGCATTTTTGAGAGCCCTAAACCCTCTAAAGGGCTCAAGGGGCCTGGAAATGGTCCAGGCCGCAATCTGCCTTCATGTTCTGGATGATATAAGGATTTTATAGGGCTTACATGGAAGTTACATAGGCTTATGTCTCTCCCCAAAATTGCTTGGGGTCGGCATCCGGATTGCAGAACAAAGCTGCTCATGACTTACTGGAGGTTAGAAGGGAATGAGGGGAAATATTGGATAGTGTCCAAAATTTGGGTCCCATTTTGGTACCCCGAAAAATTAGGTGCCGCAATATATCAGAACCAAAAGGGGCCCATAATTTTGAGCACAACCCATTTCGGGATTGTATATTCCCTTATAATCCCTACTAACAACCAGCAAGAGGAGGGTCCTCCGAATATTCGCAAAAACATCACGGGGCCCTCCACTTTGAGAACACCCACACTGAACCGTCTTAGTCAAGGCTCAGTCTCTTCCAGTCTGCTTCTTCAGCATCTATAGAATCCATTATAATAGCTTCCATTTTCTTTTCCATTATCCCAATATCACCGCAATATAGCCTATTGTATGGTAACACCCGTCAAAAGCCAAACAGCATCATAAGCGAACAAGCGTTCAATAAGAGCCACATTATGACAGGAACACACCTGCAATGTAATCCCCGGTTACACAGCTTTCATTTGATTTCCATTTTCTTGTCCGTTTGATTCTCCATGATGATAGTGTCCATTTTCTTGACCAAGCTCATCTGAAGCAGCCTCAACAGCCCCTATCTCAGGTGCCAGCTCCTCTGCAGCCTTTCGAAGGCTTTCCGCTAACACCCGCGAGGTCGCCTTGCTGCGGAGGCCGATGGCACAGGACAACTTGCGCAAATCTTATCCGCCACGTGGATTGGGACACACATGCCAAAATTGCTTGGCTATGGCATGCAGCAGAGCGAACAGCAACTTCAAACTTACATTTTGCCTGCCGCAGAGGGTAAGTTCAAACAAGTTTGATTTCTCCAGATTAACAATGGACACCGAAACAGCATGTCGGATGTAAGGTTCTGGCTTCCAGGTCATCCACCCTGCCAAGAAAATCCAAGCTTGGTAGCAAGCGAGTTATCAGCATCTGGTCAGTTCAATTTGACATCTTTAAATTATTTTCACAATCTGATGCCTGTTCCAGCAGGCTTCTCGCTTGAGAAATTAAAGCTGAAGCAAACTGCATGACGACACCCCGCTATTGCGCTGCGAAACAGCTTGTCTGTTGTAAATAATGACCCTGATCCGGGCTGCGCGCACATGCAGGAAGGAAATCGGAAAGAAAGGAAACAAAGCTATCCAATACCAGTGTTCTTACAAGAACAAGCGGGTCTTTGCGGACGACAGTGTGTAACGTATAGTAGCTGCTCTACTGGGATCGGTTCGCCGGTGTGACTAGCCTCGCGTCCTTTTCATGCGCTACGTGCGTCGCCATGCGGCGCAGTCGTCACATGTTCGAGGTCACTGTGCTCTGAGCAAGTTCCAACTGAAACATTTTGGAAACCCTGGCTAACTAAAGATGCAGTTAACCCTATATAACCCCTATAATATAGTACATTCCATTTTCTTTTCCATGATTCCTATATAACCCTCATATTCCTTATTGAAAGTATGGAGGGAAGGTTTGCTATGGGCTTTATGTTGAAAACTCGCCCAAAGCTCTGGCGTCCAAAGCTGTCACTGCCAGCTTTGGCACGGCATGAGAAGGATTAGGCGACGTACGTCGCAAGTGGGGTATAGGCCTAGTATAGACTTGAGTCTGCCCAGGGAAGGGCTTAGAACCTGTCACCCTGCTTGCTTTCGCAAAAAAAGCCACACGTCTAGTCTATCTTAATGCCATCCCCCAAGAGGCTTTGCAGCGTGGAAGAATTGCTACTCAGGCATCGAAAAAAGTAGCTAAGTTTCAGCTGCACAGGTCCTTGGCTAGCAAGGCAGGCCCCAACTGAGTGGCATGAAGGGCACAAGCGGCAACATGAGCCTACCTAAAACCTCCGCATGTGTGAGACCTCCTTTGTGCAGCTGGGCTTCGTCAGTCTTGCTGCCGACGTCATCGACCAAAACCGTGGATTTGAGGGCGGTGCCCCCAAGGCTGCTGTAAGCTCTCTTCTAAAAGGCATGGAAATCATGCTAACTTGATGCTGCCAATCATGTCTTACTACCTTTTCTTTAGCATGATTCCGGGCTAGCCAGCTAACCTTGGCTTCAGGAAATTCCTAAGCTTTTGGGATTAGTGGGCGTTCAGCATGAGCTGCCTTGTGCCGAAGTTGATCATCCAACCTTTGTTTGTCTCATCGTTGTCGATGGGCTTGTTCAGCATCGTGCGGATCTCCACGCACCCATAGTAGCCTTATCCCCAAAAAAAAGGTTCTTTCCGCAATCTGAGGACCGGAACATAGGCTCCTAAATACTGTAGTCCTTATGGGAAGCCACAGAAAGGGACCCATAATTTTGGGAACCGCCCACATGGTGGTGTTTTAGGCTCGGCTCCCTAGCACGCGGTATACTCCTTCGGCTCCTGCCTCAGCCTCTCAGACAAGCAACTAACCTTGTTGTGGCGCAGGTCCAGGTACTCCAGGCTCTTGCCCTTCTCAGAGACAAAGTGCTTGCCTGGGACATGGAAAGGAGTTCCTGAATCTGCCATGGAAATTGCTTGATGATCTGTTTGTTCATACCTGGAGTGCTGCGCTTGCCATCTTTATTGAAGAAGTTCTGCAAGTGCCCTTAAAAAGAAATCATAGCTCCGAAGGGACCCACCGTGTGGACCTAGTACTACATTGTTTGCCAGGAGCTTGAGGCAAGCAGCGCACCAACAACCAATCCAGTCCAGTTGTCAAAACACCAAGTATCTCCCTTAATAACCCCTGGAGTTTAGACTATAGCTCTTTTGTTGCTGCAAGGTCACACAGGGCAGTGGCTCCTTTCTGCATGATGGAGTTCTGTGCCAGCCCAAGCCTTGCTTTAGCTCATAAGCCTTCTGCCGCACTTTTTTGAAGCAACCCTGCACCACTACTGGGGCTGCGTTTACATGGCCCATTGACGCATTCAGAATGTCATCCACGGATGTGGGCGTTGGGGCAATTATGACCAGAGAGCCCACGTATGCAAAGTTCTGGGGTGGGGGGGGGGAGGGTGCGGCCCGTCCAACTTGGAAAAGGTGGCAAAACTCAGAACATGATTCTTGCACCCCTTCGATAGGAATTCTTAGCAGCGTGCTTGCAGTATGATGTTGAACTCTTTATCTTCTGCAGTTGTGCAAGATTTTCACGCTCATAATGTGTGCCAAAGCCCGAAATGCTTTTATTTCCAATACCCACAAACTCGTCAGTTCTGAAGATTCATAGCCTTTCAAGAACTCCAAGTACTCTGATTTGCAGCATTCAGGGTTTTCAGGAGCTCCAATCGCAATACTGTACAGTGTGCGTGGTCAATGCGTGGCCTGTAAACGGTAGTCGTGAGGGGCCAAAGCATCAGGGGACCCAACGACCAGGGCATTAGGCCCAACCTTAAACCTGGGGCGCGGCAGGGCCTTGCTGGTTTCGGCATTTGTTTGATGTCTACTTATTGTTTATACTGCAAGCGCCCAAGTCCACACCAAACGTGACTGATTACCAAGAGAGAGTCTCCATGCAAACTGCCTCTGTGCCCAAAAGCCATCACTTCAATAAACTGACCATGGGGCCGTCGCGCTTATTGAGACTGTGGCAACATTTCTTTCCCTGATCTTACTGCATGCTCATCATCACTAAATTATTCTTCCTCCCTAGCCGCTGACAGCATGGCGAGTTTCAGAACTACCCACCTGGTATTAGCCACTGGGCGGGCAGGCTATGCGACACCCATGATTGGTGTCGGTCGTGCAATTTGAATACCGCGTCACAGCGATGATGCTGCTTGTTGCTGCTTCCAAGCGGGTGAACTACTCATGCTATATGGTAGCTTGCCGAAATAAGGGGACCCCAATATAGACCCCAATATACTATAATCCTTATTATGGGGACCCCCCAAAAAGGGTTCCCTAGTTTTGGAGACCCTACATATAAAGCCGTATACTTAATACTGATTTCCATTTCATCTTCCATTTTCTTTTCCATTTGATTCGGCACCCTAAACCCTAAATAGCAGTTTCAATTTATTTTCCAATATCCCAAAATACCCCCAATGTAACCCCAATATCCCAAATTGATGCCAAGCCCGGGAGCTTCTGGAGATTGCCCTTGTTCGCGGTCAGCCCCTTCACCAACTCCTCCGCGCCTCAGGTTCTGAACATGGGGGTCTCCCAAAATCATGGGTACCTTTTTGGGGGTCCAAAATAAGGAGCATCGTATTTTAGGGTCAATATTGTGGTCCCCCTTTTTTGAGACACACGGAAAGGCATCCCTGTGAAAGCAGTGATGGTGGTTCTGGTGGGTGATGGTAGTGCTCGTTCATAGCAGCAAAAGCAGAAGCAGCAGCAGTAGAAGCAGCGAGTTGGAGAAGCCGCGGCAAGTATGACCCTAAGTCCAACAGGAAGGGATTGATGAGAAGGATCCCAAAACTGTAGTTTCCTTAGACCTATGAATCTCTTTTAAGATATTTCCTTAGAGTTCTCCTATAATAAAAATTTGAAGTGATTCCTAAGGACAGTATCGGAAAAAATACGTCCACCCTCCCTGTTTTCTTCCAGCTTCCCGCCTGCGGGGCCGATGGAGTTCCCACAAAGCTCGAGATAGCGAAGTCGCGTGTTGGTGGCCAACCTTGCTAGTAAAGTATGATGGGCATCTTAAGGTAAGAGTTCTTGTAACGGGGATCCTAGGGATGCAGGATTTTCAGGAAGGGTGTCCGAATATTTGAAAGGACAGCAGCTTGGAAAGCGTGGTCTTGTAGTCTTGTGCCTACTCTTCACTCACTCGACCCGTGAATGGCTCTTACCAAATTGTTGCAAGGCCTCTACTCCAATGCCCATTTTCTTCCCCGCTACTTCCGCACATGCAGAAGAAAGCAGTGCCGTTCATGTGACAGCATCGGACCTGACTGAACACGTGTGACGCGTGTGTAGGGACGGTCCTAGTCATCAGAACTGTCCGTCCAGCACAACGAGGCGAGTGGCCAAGAGACTCCCGCATCATCAATTGGTTTTTAATTATCGGAACACTCACGAGCCGACTTTCATGCTGTCTGACAACATCATCTCACGGTGGCCGTGAGTATCACTCAAGCCTGTCACATGCCAATCAACCTGAGCTGCAACATCCGGGTTGGCACATACTGCGGTAGGACGAAGTTCGTCGCAGTTGCGCATCCCCGCATCAGTTCTGCACCAATCCTGCGCAGACCCCTTACCCCGTAGACTCCTCCACCAAGTCCTCCATCTAGAACAATGAAAGTATTACAAGTTTATTCCAGTGGATTAATTCCTCCACTAGCCAGGCCAGCGAGAACGCGCTTTCGCGTACTCCGCGACATGAAAGTAAGCCAATGCGTCGAAACTTCATTCCTGGTCATGTAGGCTTGCTTAGAAGCGAGCTGCGCTGGCGGGCATTGGTTCAAATGTAGTAACGTTCCATCGAGACTTTGTTAATGTCGTTTATGGAACACACCGCCATGTGGCTGCGAGCCAGGCAGGCTCACCAATGCCAGGCACCTTCTTGAGGCAGAAGGCACTGCTTGGTCGACCTCTTACTTTGACAGCCGCTTAGGCAGCTTGTTTGAAATTCTGATTCGCTGCCCATGCATGTACGGATGAAGACGCTGAGCGCTACTACGAAGAGCAATTGGCCGAACAGTACGCTAGTAGTTGCCCCGCCGGCTCTGAAGGAGCACGCCAGTCGTCGCAGTCTTGGCTTCGTCGCCAGCGCACCGAGTTGCCGCAGCGCAGGGAGCCAAGCAAGCGCGGACAAGCCAGCGAAACATGACTCCACTAAGAAGAACCTGAGAACACACCAAGATTAGGTAACATGCCTGCATCGCAGCACTGTGCTCAATGTGCAGCCTTTGTCTAGCCTGCCCTGGTGCTGGGCGTGCGGCATTCGGCACACGCTGTTGCAGACCTCATCCTCCAGGCGGTTGTAGTTGAAGGACACATGCTCCAGCCTCAGATAAAAAGCTTCGCCTCACAATGGCATCATAAGAAACCATCTGCGATCTGCGGTGTCCCAACTGAAGCTTCATGTCAGTACTACTCGCTTGAACCTATCGACTTTTCAAACGTGAAATTCTACTAGTCTAGTACAAAGGTTTCCCACTCGTTGCTACAGACAAATGGTTGATTTCTGCCAAGACACGCAGGGTGGACTGTCAACGGTCCCGCACAAAGATGCTGCACGCCTCGCAAACGGGGTTGGCAGGTCTCAACGCCTCATGGGTTTTCCTAGGTGCTCACGTGATGCTGCCTGGATGTCCCAGTTGCAGGAATGGGTTGACTGATGGTCTAAAAGATGCCTTTCTACAAGTTGTTGGGGGAAGGGTGTGAAAGTTACGGTTTTGGGGGAAGCTGCATGGGCCCTGCACATCCCGCAAGGTCGCGGCAGCCCTCCTGAGTGCATCCTGTAAAGAATACCGGCCATGGCTGATTTTACTTTGCCGAGTGCGATCAAACCCAAACGCCAACGCAAAGTTTGACTTCCACTATCTTGAAGTTTCGCACTTCCGGGTTTTTAAGTCAAGTGGGCTTCCAACAGTTACTGAATAAACTCATCTGGAAACCCGTCTTTTTGGTTTGGATCTATTCAAGGGTACTTGTGCAGATCCCGAGGCGTGCCTGCGTTGTTCAGGCGACAGGCGGCCAGGCACAGGGATTTCAGCGACTTGTTCTTCGAGAGTCCTCTGGCTTGCAGATGCTGCTTCCTTCATCAAGCCTAGAAAAGCCTTCAAAACTCTTGATACGGCTGTTGCTAGGGTAAGAGAAAGAAGTGAGTGCCGCAGGGTGCCTTGGGAGAAGTCTCCCTCCACGCCCGATGCATCGGCCAAGTTGGAGCTCAAGACCAGCATTTCCTCACCACGTTGTAGGGTTTAGGGTTTAGGGTTTAGGGTACTCTACATGGAGGAAATATTGCAGCATACATGATCTCTCGCGGGTTTCACATACAAGCGGCAGCACTGGATAAACATAGCTGCATGCAAGCTTTCAGGCAACTGAGGGATGCCAAAATGTTCTTCCTCATTTGGTAATTTCCCCTAGGACCGCAATATAGACCCCAGTATACTACGAGCCTCATTATAAGGACCCCCAAAAAAGGTACCCCTAATCTTGGGAAACCACCAAATTTGGTCCCCCTGGAACGGCCAGGCCGCCAAGGATGGGCAAGAGCCAATGAGGCTCCCAATGGACTGGAATCCCGCGGATCGCATGCCAGCCCGAGGCATCAACAAACCTAGGTTTTTTCATTAGGTCATTAGGGTTTAGGAATTGGGGTTTAGGGGTAGTTGGGGTTACTTGGGGAACCTCCACACCCGCATGCTCAGATAGGATACTAAGAACAGAGCAAGAGGCACGCCAAAGAGTCTTCACATATTGAAGACGGGACTTTGTTAAAAGCACGACTTAGAATAGGGCCCCTATAATTATCATATGACTACCACAGAATTATGGTGGTTCAGGTCACTGAAAGCCTTGCCTTACCCTTTCCTAAACATTGAAGCACCCATTAAGAAGTTCAGTCAAAACACGCTTCAGGGCCTTGTTGCCCTTCAAGCCATCTTTGAGGTAGGAAGCGCCTTGCAACTTCCAGCGTGCAGTCACTGGACGCACCCTAGACGGGAAAAAAAGACAAAGAAATGGAAGCTGTGTGATAATCTCTTGGTTTTATAAGGATTAGGATGATGAGGGTTTCCCAAAATTTGGGGTCCATTTTTGGGGTTACCACAATAAGGATCGTAGCATCTTGAGGCTCATTTTGGGGTCTCGTACTTACCGAAAAACACACTATGTTACTGGAACCCAGGCCCAGATCACCCACTTGAGAGGGACTTACAAAATTCCTGAAGTACAAGTTGAACTTCATGTTCGCCATAGTCCAAACTCCTAGCCCGGGGTCACCCCTATGGTAGTCCCCTATATAATCCCTTAGTATATACTCCCTTTTAAGGAGTTTAGATTGTGGCTCATGTCGCAGGCATGCACGCCTTCATCTCCCACATAATTGTCAGAGAAGTTGAGTTCCTCGAACCTTAGAATTCCGCTTTTAACCCTCAAGGCGCCCACCATCTTCAGGTTCACTTCGAGCTTTCGAGCTTGCTGGGCAAGTCTACACACATGGATGCTTAAACTGAAGCCCCGAGGATGCATCATGTCAGGGGGATCAATTGCAAGCAAATGCAGGAATTTGCCCTGTCCGATTAGCACACTTGCATCTCTTCACGGTCGAAGATGTCAAGAACACTTGCATCTCCCCCGGTAGGCACCCAACGCAGGTTCTGACTGGCGCTCCCCCAGCTTCTCCTCAGCTTCACAGGATGTTCAACTTGACCGCCTGAAGTCCAGCTTCAACCCCACAGTCCCTGAAGTGAAGGCCGAGTCTCGAAGATGGATCGGATGGCCTGAGCAGGGATTTGAGGACCGAAAGGATGGTTACCTCTATGAGCTGATAGTCACTTTCCTCACCGAAGTGCGGGCTTGCTGGTCGCAGTATCTATTATAAATAGTATATCTTATTTGCGATTATCACCTTTGTTACTATTATTGCTGTTGCTACTATTATCATACTACTACCATAATGTCAAATGCTTCAGCCTGCCTGGGATCCGTAGCGCTGTGCGCACTGATGGATGGAGACCTGACCCGCGCTGCCAAGGCGCTTCAGCGCTTGCAGGTGTTCAGGCTGCGGGCTTCACCCGCCAGGAACAGCAATAATGCTAGTAGTAATAAGCGTAATAATGATAATAGTAATGATAGTAGTAATAAGAATAAAATAGCAATGATAGTAACAACAGTCATAACAGTAATACTAGTTGTGAAAGTAACAGTAGTGACAATAGCAGTAAGAGTAATTATACTCAGCAATGTCACCAGGGGCTGCAACAAGTGTTCCTGGTCAACCTGCCAATGAGAGAGGCAGGCCGCTCACGAAGGCAGTCCAAACGGAATACATTTCAGTCTGAACAAGGCGATGGCCTAATTTACTAATTCCTGAAGGACCTGGCTTTTGCGTCACTGCGCACTCGCAGCTTGCATGACACGCTGCAGGGCTGTCTGTCTTTGCTAAGCTCAGAGTTTCGCGCGATTCAACCCTTTTAGAATCGCCAATCTCCAACCTCAGGCAAACATGAAATCTGACGAAAGAGCCTGGAGCAGACTACCTGCAATGCCATTGCCAGTATTTTCCCTAATCCGCCCTAAAGCCCTTAAGCTAAGAATCCACATCTGAACAGTAGAGCAAGCAATGCGCCTGCGGGTTGTCCAGCTTCTGGAGGTTCAGAACTGGGTACCCTACGTCCAACACCTGGGAGAGTTTGGCGACCCCCTCACATCTGCACATGTGCTGTACCTCTCACTGATTTGGAAACTGCTCTCTTGCTGTTTGCACTTTGTCTGCTTCTATGTCTATTTCTTCTACTACGACTACTACTCCTACTTCCAGTCTTGCTGCTGCTAATGTAGTTTTGGCGTGCCACTACTAAAATTACTGCCAAGAAAATGGCCGCGACTACCGCCAGCGCCAGCATTATAGCCCCAGCCCCAACAACACCACCGTGGTAGCAATGTGCTTTATGATTTGTTCTTGCTGCTGTCTTGCGAAGCTGGCCCGCCTCACGTGTGCCTGCGCCGGTGGGCACGCTCACGGGCATCACAGGATCAGCAGCGGCCATGGTTCGAACCTGAGCTCTGCGCCGCATGTAGAAAGAACAATGACCATCCATCTTCGTCATAGTTCAACGTGGAGTGGACAATAGACAAAATGTCGAATAATGTGGCCTGCATGAGGAAAATCAGTACTTCACTTCACCCCTAAGCATCTGAATAGCTGTAGCTGGCCTCCATACCATCAGGTAAAGATCCGCTAACCCCTACGGCTTGTCATGCTGAAGCCCAGTCAGACTCGAGCAGTTTCTTTTTAGTGGCCACTGCAAGGGTTCTTCATTGTAGCCACAGCTACTCGGTGAGGGTTTGGGGGTTGTTCTCTGCTGCAGACCCAAGACTGAAAACAAAGCATGGGGGGGAACAGGGGGGAATATAGGCAGGGCATGGTGAGCATGGTCCTCCATGGCAGATGCTGTATGCATTGATTGGGCAGTCAGTTCGTATGCACCGGGAGCTGCACCGAAAACACCATAGCCGTCTGTACTGGATGTCTTCAGCAACTACTTCTTCCTCCTTCCATATGCGCACCCTTACAGTATGAGATCCTCGAAAAGGAAACCATCAGAGATCAGAGATGGCTAAACAATCTTTGGAGCTATACAGCCTCATGCGTCCAAGGCTCAAAGGGTCACAACAGGAAAAGGGATCACAAAGTGGATCTTGAGGCAAAACTACACGGCGAGGAACATGCACTTCTCTCCTCTGTACAAGCTTTGTGTTGTCAAGGCCATGTGAAGCACTGCCATTGCAGATCTGCCGCGGCTCTGACGCCGGACACCCATCTGCAGCTCAGCCCATTTTGGCTTGAGGTTTGGGGTTGCTCAAGATTGGTGTTGCGGGACCCGCATCCCAGTCGTCCATTTAGCCTCCAGGGGCAGGATCCCCAACAACGTAATCTCCTCTCCCTAATATTAAACCCCCCACCCCCCCTAATATTAAATACTTCTTGTGTATTGGGAGTATTTAATATTAGGGGGGTGGGGGGTTTAATGTTAAGGGGAGGGGACTATTCATCAAAACGAGTCTTCTCGGTAAGAAGATTGGTTTGGCTGGAGCTCCCAGCCCAAATCTCATCGAGGACGCTTGTTTGGCTCCTCTACTCCCATATACCTTATCTGGTCAATTCTACCTGCTAGAAATAGAAGCCCAACATCAATGTAAATTATATGAGCTTATATACTCCTAAACTCCTTATAAGCTGTTCTAAAGGGGAATACATGGGAGAGTATTATAGGGGTTATAATGGGGGCCTACGGGCTTAGACTATAGCTCATCTATGATGCATGGGACTGCTTAAAAAGGGGCCCTAAACCCCTAAACCCGTTTTTGCTGCAGGCTTGCTGAACCCTAAACCCCCAAATGCAAAGCCCCTACACCCTAAACCCTAAAACCGAATGACCTCCGCTTGACAGGGTCGGGCCTCGAGGTCTGGCTCCGTGCCTGCAGAGCTCTCTGCTTCCCCAAGGCTACGCAATAATACGAATGGTGAAAATAATCAACTAATGATCAAATTGAATAATACAAATAAGACTAATAGTAAGAATATTACTGGCAATAACAACAACCATAACAACAATAGTAGAAATACTATATTGTAAATTTGGGGGGCTCTTACCCCCAGAAACCGCAGCTTCCAACTTCTTGGCAGAAGCGTGCCTTTCGGGACTGTCTTCCGATGGTTCCAAAATTTCGAACAATCAAGGGCTGCGGTCCCCATGGCCCAAACCAAGCTGGCTAACCTGACAGACACTTGCAATACCTCAACAATTGCAGGGGTAGATAGGTAAGTTATGGCAGGATTCTGGTGTATTTCCGGGATCTAAACTGGGCAGTACAGGAACCTGAGCATACACCAGTAGGATTCCCCTGATCCTGTACTAGATATCTCAAACAGACCTCAGTGTTATACTCTTCTCTAAGCCCTTTTACTTGCCTCCAACGTGCCAATCTCCACCTGAACTTCAGATAGCTTCTGCCTGGCATCACATGGGCTGCAATCAGGATGCAGATGCTTCTTCCCGCGCACTTTTCCAACTTTGCGCACAGTTCGGGGATTCTGTTGGAAACATGCGAGCATCGTTGATTGTTGTTGGCCCAGTGCCACAAGTAATTTGGGGTTCCAGGGTGTTTTGTGCGCAGGGCATTCTGAAAATCATGGGAAGCTTTGCTTTCGCGGGCATGATACAACACAAGACGCTGCTCTCGTTGAACAGGGGAGCCCCTGGAGACCCTAAGTCTGAGGCCCAGCTGAGAGCACAGCTGTTGTGCAGCATGATTGCTGTCCCAGCTCTGTCGCCAGCACATCATCACTACAGCTGCCAAAAACTCCAGTCTCAAATACATGACCTGAACATAACAGCCGTCCCAGGATTCAGATTCCTCCAACTGATCAAACGACCAAAGCGTCATGATTGGGGCGGGAAGCTGTTTCCGCCTCAAAGATTTGCTCTTGATTCACAAAACCTTTTGCGTCTGCGAGCTGGCTCTGAATTTCCGGAGGAATGAAGACAACTTGCAGTACAGCTCGCCTGGCGTCATCAATGTCCTTCGCTCGTTCGACTTCCTCCTCTGCCAACATGTGTGCCGTCAACTCAGCCGCTGAAATGATTTACCATTAGAAACTACCCTATAATGCCAGTTTCCATTTCATTTTCCATTTTCTTTTCCATTTGATTCTCCATTCTTAGGGTACATAACCACATTGTCCCTATGTATTACCATTGCTATTACTAATAGTGCTTACTGTGTTAGGGCAACTCAGTACTTCATGGGTTGTAATTGTATCATGCCCACTGTCCGTGTCCTTCTCAAGCCTCTCGAGTTCTCCTGCAGCTGCTGCCTGTGGACCAGGAAGCACAAGGTGCAACATGGGGCTTAAACCTAGATAGGCGCTATCACTGACAAGAGACTTCCCCTTGAACAATGAGTTCACACTTGAAATCGGCGCAGCACCCTCCGAGCGCCCAGCCAGTTCTGCCTCAGTGCTTGCCAGCTCCTCCTTCGACAGAAGGGCTGGGTCTAAGCCACCCTCCCTTTGAAGACATAGCTTGTACCGTGAAGGGCATCTTTTCATGTAGGCTGCTGTGAACTCTCCGACTGCATCTGCCTGTGCCATTGCCTGCCGAGACCTTCTGTCAAGTCAAAACTTCAAAGGCGCGAAAGGAACTCCCTGACTTTAAGGCATGCTGCCGGCCTCGAGGTCCTGTGCTCGTGCCTGTGCCTCAAAGAAAGAGACGGGGCGCAGTCATGGCATGTTGCACAAAGACACGACTCAGAAACCACAGTCACATGACTTACTTTTCAGCTTCTTTCAGCAGACAAGGCTTCCGCAGCGCACCGTGGATTTTATTGACTGGCGGTTCATTGGCGCTGGCAGACTCAGCTGGGTACCACTTCCAAAGCCGCGGCGCGGTCCTATTCAAGTTGCCAAGCCTTTTGTGTTCTCCTAACTGTGCTTGTGACCTCCCTATGTCATGGCTCAGGATTCCCACGTCTCCTGCTTGAAAACCCTATACCGATTTCACAGCTAGAGACTGTCCATATGAGCCATAGTCTAAACTCCGAGTATCCCCCTTAATAACCCCTAAAGTAGTCCCCTATATAATCCCCTATATAACCCCAGTTTAAGGAGTTTAGACTATAGTACATATACCTA